AATAGATCAGGTATGCACAGCAATCCCACGCAGACGAACCAACCCACCCCACCACCCCTCCCAAGATCCATATTTCGCCCAGTAGGCATTAAAAAGAGTCTTAATGAAATAACACTGTGCTACAGTAAAACTTGAAAAGCGTAAGTACGGGCAAGCTAGTGCCTCGTAATCGGTGCAGCCGATCGTCTCCATCGTGATGTCGAGGCAGCCCTCCAGGTTCTGGCCAGCTCCATGCGCCCAAAGGAACACGCGCCGAAAGAACCTGCAGGATAGTTGGCGATACGGAGGGCAAAGTAGACAAGAAGAGGGAGGTGTCACGACATGCAACACCGGTGGAATGCACGGGTTTGTAGAACGACAGAGTAATGTTGATCACACAAACACATTTTGCTGCTGGGAAGGACCGGTGTGGACCAAATTGGCTCCCACATGTCAAGGGCGTGATGGAACACAAGCTTGGTCCAACGGACGCACGCACACACACACACTAAACAAAATACCATGTTTTATCTGGGTGGTCTCAACGTTGCCTACACGCCGGACCTACGTTGCACTCACTCTTTCTGGAACACGGTATTGGACGACCCGCCCTTCTCGAGCACGGCCCAGCGTCTGACCCGCTTGATGGCCATGGCCATGTTGTCCAACTCCTCGTCGTCGATGATCACCTTCATCAGCCCAATGGCCACCTCCACCATTGGCAGGGCTACCTGTGCGTGTGTTGCCATGACAACAAGGAAGCCAAACGACCCCACAACAGGTACGAGAGGTGCAGGGAGTGAGTGTGAGTAGAATAATAGAATGCATCACACGCGGCGACCGAACGGAGTACGCGGCATCGAGGACATAATAAACACCGGTCTTCAAGTCATGAGACAAAGAAAATCAAGACGTGGCTGCACCGGCTACACGCTAGGCTGTCCAAACTTGCACGCTCTTCAAGTCATGAGACAAAGAAAATCAAGACGTGGCTGCACCGGCTACACGCTAGGCTGTCCAAACTTGCACGGTCTTCAAGTCATGACCAAACTAATTTTAATACATGGCTGGAAGGGCTACACGCTAGGCTGTCCAAATTTGTGCTCACCTTGTCAACGAACAGGACAGTCCCCCCCCCCCATACGTCGTCAGGCTCCAAGGAATCCCACCCTCCCGTCCTGTGGGCCTGTAGGGGCAAGTCGAGGATGGCTCCGACTAAGATGCGCATGTCCTGCGTGGGTTAGGGAGAAATAGACACGAAGAGGGGTCGAAGGAAGTAAAGAGGGTATTAGCCATCGTTTGTATATAATCGAGGATCGTCGATTCCGGGCACGCTTTGAAACTTGCCGCGAAACTACTGCACACATATGCCACGCAACAACAATAACATGACCGACCGATTGGGTTGGTACGTTTAGACGCGAAGCGGGGGTCGGCAGGTTGCCGTTTTCTGCTGGTGGCGCAAGAGATAATGTGTTTCTACGACCCACCACGCGCGACATGACACATCTGTACGTACTCACGTCGGTCTTTGCCACGACCGCAGGGTCAAATGCAATGACGGCCCGGGACGCTGCCCTCAGGATCTCGTCCGTGCTCTGGTCGCTGTCTTCGTCCGACTAACTCTCCAGCACTGAGAGGATGTAGATCATGACGGCCAGCCTCACGGCCTTGTGCCACGTGCGGACTGGAGCGCGGGCCGAAAGGTCTCTGTGTTTGGAGGGCGTTAAGACATAAATGACAGACGGTTTTGAACGGACTTCGTCAGGCACGCACGGACAAAGAGGGCACAACTGTTAAGAACCTTTTGCCGACCCAGGAGACAACAAACAGAATGTAGCTGCCACATCGGAACACCCCCCCTCCCCCTCCCATGCGAGGTCTATGGTCTTAACGACAACGGCATGCATGATACCTAGTACACCCCCCCCCCCCCGAAAATGCAGACGGCGCAACGCATCACGTTACGTTCCACGGCGGTGAATCGCGGGTGTAGCGCTGCAGCGAGACATCTGTAATGAGTCACCCGACAGTATTGATACTCGCTCGTGTACTAGTCGCCACAATAAACAGCCCGCCACAAGCAAGGTAAGTCTATTTCCGGACGCATGTGCGATTAGAGCAGGTCGTTTGTCCGACTCCTACGAAAGTGGTAGGCTTGTTGCGTGGCGTGAACGTCCATGTTCGACATCGAGGCGAAATGTAGTGTGTTTCACGTCAGTCTTAGTACGGGAGAAATAGTATATATTACGATCACAGCACAGCCGGTATACGTCATGGCCTAGCCATAATCCTTGTGCCATTGCAAGTCGTCAACAAGACCACCAAAATATCTGAACAGAGACACAGCACTCACTCATGAACGCCGCGCACTTCATCCAACCGGGCTCCCAGAACCCGTCGGACATCCGGCACCACGGATTCGTGGCAGGGTCCGCCCTCCCCATCCCAAACGAGAAGTTCAGCTGTTGGTCGCCGATGATGGCGTGACTCCAGACAACGGAGATGCCGGCGGTAAAACCTCGGTTTGCGCCTCCGGACTGCCTGCCGCTGTGAACTGCAGGAGTCGCCGCGGTCTCCGCGCTGCCGCCGAACATGGGGGAGAAAACCAGCTGCACCTGCGAGATGCATATCGTCCGTATAGCACAAGATCGGGGGCGGAAAATCCAGCGACGCGTGAGAGAGAAGTCGTGGGTTCTATGCTATTTAGTCTGCGACGATGGGAATGCTGAAACCACGCTTGTCGGTGCAAACACAACCATCAATCATCCTCGGGCTGAACGGCGAGCACAAAACATCAATGTACACAAGACTCCTACTCGTGTCACCAGTCGGCATGTACGACGATCCTGGGTAACCAAGGATACATATAAGTTAGTAGTTGTGGTTCCACCTCCACACGACTACAAGCCCCTTATGTACCGCCGTAGGTGACACAAGATACCGCACCCCCTGCTGCTGTGAACAATATCGATATTTGCCACACAGTAACTGGCCCAACCAAAACGGCGGAATGAACCATCTCGTCGAGAGCTCTCCGAAAACGTGGCGTTTCATTTCTGCATGTTCATGGTCCTGGACTGAGGTTAGCTTTTTATAATCGGCCCAGGGGTTGTGGCATATTGTGCCACGTACGGAAGGTGGTGCGTCTATATTATAGACCGACCGGATGGTGGGAAACTCACGATTCGAGGACTTCGGCGGCAAAATTTCAGTCAACACCACAAAAAAATGCACCCGCATCTACGCAAGAAACACAAAAGCACAAGCTTAGATTATAACGAGACGTGCGTATGTATGTGTTTTGCAACACTCTCTCTGACAGGGACACAAAAATTCAACTCACATGTTCCGCCATGTGCTCTTGCAGGAGGTATATGAAGACGCGTGGGGCCGCGTCTGGGCCCAAACACCCATGACGCTAGCCATGGCGTTTTCAGGCTTCATGGATGACGACACCGTGAAAGCTGTGCCGTCGCCGTGGCTGACACCTCCAAAGCTGGAGGCAGCGGCAGGGCGCGCGGACGAAGAAATGTCGCCGAACTCCGCCGACACCCTTCGAGTGGAGGAGGCACGCGGCGCCGTCACGCCAGGCGACGCCGTGGCCGCGGCACCGCTGGCGGCGCCGCCACCGTCGTCCATACTGGAAAATCCTGGCAGTGATGGCCGGCGGCTCGACGGCTGCGAAGATGCCGACCCAGGAGCCGTTTCGGCAGCCTTAGCGCTCCTGACGGACGAGAGATCCGCCTCTTGCTCTTCCTCCTCGGGCTCCTCCTCCTGCAAAGGACGACGGACAAGGGACCACGACGCAAAGAGAGCAAGATGAATAAAATATTTGTTGTTGAGCCCCCCGCGATGTAGGGGTCACGGTATCTCGTGCCACCCACTACGGTACTGGTCACGGTATTGGTAGTGTAATGCATACGAGTAAAGTATGTAGCGCACACACACCGACGACCCTCCGTGTACACGATCGAAACACAGCGCAGATACATGAGGCTACACAGGTGGAGTTCGACTCCCCTTCCCCAAAATGTCGGATGCCCGCGCCCCCTTGTGGAGACCTTTGTCAACTGAATTTCTGCCCTTTTTGAGGTTCGGGTTGGGTTCAAGTGTCCGACCTCGACAAAAGTCTTCACAAGGAGGCGCGGATATTGTCTACTGGGGGGAAGGGGGTCGACCTCCACCCAACGTACCGCAGGGAATTTAGTCGGCTACACCGCGCGGCACGCTACCTCGCCCTGTGTGGTAATTGGGCCAAGTTGGTCAGGGCTAGGTTGCGTACGGTCGAGGGGCCAACGGTCAAGACGGTTATGTGCGCATTTAAAAACCGAAAAAAACAAAACTTGCCGTTGGTTTTTTGTCAGTACCTAAACAAGTTTCCCAATCATCCAGTAGACGTGTCCGGCACATGTACCCCTATAGACAATAAATTCGTCCCGAGATCTACGCATGAAGCATCCATCGAGGCAAGAACCGTACAAAACACGAAGAGGTGGGCGTGCGGGCCAAGGAGATAGCCCTCCAAAACAACCCCCTTTAAAACAACCCTCGATTTGATCAAATTTACATGAAAAACGCACGTGGAATATTTTGCTGTCGGCAGCCGCCTTCCCGACAGCGGGCTTTCGGCGCAGGCGACGACGGCGGCGTTCACTGCGATGACCCAGGATGTCATCGTCGAACTCGTCCAAAGGACCAAGGTAACGCTCAGCCTCCCTGAGAGCCGCTGCAGAGTAGGTTTGGCCGTTGTCAGTCGAACTCACATTCATCTCATCACGCTGCTGCTGATCATGGCGTTGAGGCGTCGACGCTTTCTTCTTTCCTTTGCCCTTTTTTCCCTTCTGCTTCGACCTGGAGGAGGCCGATGCAGACAGGACGCCTCCACCCGTACGCGCGATCCAATCCTCCTGGATGCTGTAGTCCCTCAAGGGAGGCGCCCCGGCGCTGCTCGCACGCCGTGCCATGATCTCTCGTGCGTAGGGAGTGTGTGACGGCAGGCTAACAGCAAATCTTATGTTCAAGATCAGAGCTTTAACCATCGGAGGGTTTCAATGACAAAAGGCGTTATGTTGCGGTTTCGGAGCCTATTGCGCCGCAGTTATATATCAAATTCGACGCGCTGTGCGCACGTGTATGGTATGTTCTGTGTCGCATACCCGGTGTATGACCCCCAAAGCATGGAGGAGAGGGGGTCTATTGTGTCACATAAACGATGTACAATCGCGACCCAAGGCGTGCACGTCCCCACCCGTCAGAGGGACGGTGGACTTGTTTCTGCGGACACGAGGCGCGCGACGCGAGGTCGTTAAGGCAACATCAGAATGCGAGACACGACGGCAGGCGTAGCGCTACGGGGGCGGAGGGGGGCACAGCAGGACCGCAGCATGTGCGGCACGACCACGCATCGACTGGTCGGGGCACGAGTAGATGTGGTCTATTCCTAGTGAAGGTGTGTTATATGTATTGAGAGTTTTACATTGACAAAATTAAAATTATAAGAGCCATAATTATGCCGCACGAGAGACACACACACACTTCCCTCTAGCTGACGCTGTCCCGACGATTAAAGCTCGATTCACCTGCAGCAGAGAACGGATTGAGCATTTGATAGAGTACAATAGTAGGTTGATGCATTTCGCGCAAACGTAAAAACGCTCTCCCACCTCTAAAAACTCTTTGTACCAAGTATTGCCGAAACCAAGTCCAACAGAAGGAACAATCTACAACTAACTCGCGACGCACAGGTTTGGCGGGTGGTTCATCCGATGTACGTCGTAGCGTGGTATC